CCCCAGCACTTCCTAAACCCTGTGGCGGCTGAGCCCCGCGCCCCAGCCTGCCCAAGCTTGCTCCCGCCCTGGCCTGGGGGTGGCTGCCTTGTTCACCCCACCCGCGCCCCGACTGTGGGCTCCCAGAGGCAGGGCTGGCGGGGACAAGGACCAGGGTCTGCCACAGAGGACGCCCCCACCCGGGACCTGCAGAGCTGCCAAGGCCCCCACTTTACAATTCCTGGAGGGGTCCTGGCTCCTCTGGCCAGACAGTCCACGGGCCCTGCCCGCCAGGGACGCTGGGCCATAGCATCAGACACAGACGGGCCCCCCAGGGCCTTGGGTCGTGTGCCGGGGCGGCGTCCGGTCCAGCCCAGGGGTCCTGGGAGAGGGGCTGTGGGCTGGTCTTGAAGCATAAAATAGGTCAAGTAAGCCTGGGAGGTGGTCCCCAAGCAGTCCCTCGGCCCGAGACAGTGGGTGGTGAGGCCCAGCTGGGCGCCGCGGGCACTGGGGCGCCTCCTGAGGCGCGGGTGGGTGGTGGGCTGGAGAAGCCCCGGAGGCAGCTGCAGGGGGCCCACTGGACGTGTCCGGGGGGACGGGGCACTTTGGGAGGGAAGGCAGGGTGCAGGGGGCAGGGCGGCCCCCACGGGGAAGGCGGGCCTGGGCCTCTGCAGGCAGGTGTGCCCCTTGCAGGCACCCAGGCCTGGCCGCGCGTCAGTCTCGTAGGGCTGTTTATGCAGATGCGAACATTTAGAGACGCGTTTTTCTCTCTCACTTTTCTACTGTGTAACATGCACTTGCCCGGCCCAGCTTCAAGGGCACAGCGCAGGTGCGGCGGGCTCGGCCAGCCGCACCCCGCAAACACCTGCCCATACCCACCACCCGTTTTCTGTCTGGAACCTCCTACCCCGGGTGGAGCCCCGGACTGTCCTCTCTACCACGCCGTCCTGCAGGCCGAGCCCGCGGGCTGTGGCTGCCCCTGCCGGCCAGGTGACCATCTGGACACAGACCCCCGGGGGGCGCCCTCCTGAAGCCGGTCTCTGGGTCTGGCTCATCGGGCCACGCGCTGCCTCCGGGACGGCGCTCTGTGCTCTTGGGCGCGCTGGAGCCCCGGGCCCGCAGGGGTTGGGGCCACTTGAGAGCGGCAGTCGCCATCCATGTGGGAGAACGGTGCCTGGCCGTGGACCCATCCTGGGGGCCCCCACCCTGGGGGGCCGTGCCCTGCCGCCACGGGGCGCACTCAGCCATCCGTCATTCTAGGCCTCTGGATTATTCTGGGGCTGATTAAATTAGCGAATGCAATCACAGTCTGAAGCACGTTAATTGAGAGAATTTATTTGGGCCTGACAGTTTTATGCATGTTTGATTAAGTATTATAAGGTTTGTTTCTGATTTTGCATAATTTAACTTGGAGTCCTGCGCTGGGGGGCCCATCAGCCATGACCGACCAAAATAAACCTCTTCGAAGATCCCTCGTTTATGCTCGATCCCAGGGGCATTCTCGCCCGGATACCTTTGGTGCCGTTTTCCAAGTGACAAACATGCTAAAAGTAACACTCCGGGCCTTTCCCTTCACTCTGCAGACCTGCCGGGACGCGCGCAGGTCATCACAAGTCCTGAGAGGACAAGTTAGCACTCACGTTGCAACAAGTGACACGTAAACGCGGATGTCCGTCTCGCTGGCACCGTAAGGTGCGTCCCTCGGCGGGCTGGGAGCAGGCGGGTGGCTCCGGCGACCACAGCCCCGCCAGGACTGCTCCGGCAGCGGCGCTGCGAGTGTCTCCTCTGAAGTCAGCAGTGGACGGCGCAGCCTGGCCTGGACAGCCGGGAGGGCCTGGGGCAGCCGCCCTGCCGCGAGCCTGTGCTCCTCATGCCGGCCCGGAGCAGTGGGCACAGCTGTTGAGGAGAGGCTGGCTGCCCGGCGGGCCGTGCCCTTCCCCAGGCGGAGGCGGACCAGTCCCGAGCGGGCCCTGGCTGGTTCTCAGCTGCCTGGCATGGCTCCGTCCCGGGCCTGAGCGCTCCGTGGGCTCAGGCGCCATTAGTGGTGTGGGGAGCGCCAGTCCCCGGACAGGGCTGGGCACTTCAGGCCAAGTCATGTGCCCGAGTGGATGCCCCACTTGTTGCGGGGGGTGAGGGCTGCCTCCCCACTGTGCCCCAAAGCCTCGCGGCGCCGAGTGCCGCTGGGGTTGCGCAGCTGCCCTCCCCGCACACTGCAGGGCCCCAGGAGCTGGGCCAGTGAAATGCCAGGGGATGCCCCCAGAACCCAACACATGCCGGACACTTTAAGCAGCCACTGGACAAGCTTGTGCCCAGCAGGCACCGGCCACCAGGCTGGAGGCTGGAGCTGGCAACTCCCGCTCCAGAGGTGGGGGCACGTGCAGGGAGGGGCGCCCTGCCTGGGCACGACTCTCCCAACATGGCTAGCTCCAGTGCCCTTGGACTGGAGGGGGCGGGGGCTGGCGCTGGGGAGCAGGGAGGCAGACATGAGTGCAGAGGCAGCCTTCTGAGGCCTCATCTAGCTGCACAGGTGGTTTCTGCCTGGCAGCTACAGCAGCACCCCAGCGCAAGGTCCAGACACTGGGGTGCAGCGCGGCTGAGACCCGAGGCCTGCACCCGCAGCTAGAAAGCAGGGGGGCCGGAGCCATACCAGAGCTAGCCTGCTGCGCACACCACGCTCCGGGCACCGCGCCCCATGTGCCGTCAGCCTCTCCGGGGTGGCCTCCGGGCCCCTGGCAGCCCAGTCCTTGTGCCAGTCAAGTGCCAGTCAAGTGCCGTGGCCGCCGAGCCCTCGTGCCCTGGGGCAGCACTCAGGCCCCCACTTCATGGAGCCCACAGCACGTGAGGGCGGTGGGTCTCCCTCAGATCCACGCACAAAGCCTCGTCCCTGCAGCACAGCAGCAAACCCAGGAGCCTGGCTGGGCCTGCAGTGCTGGGCTGCCGCTGCCCCAGGACCGTCCACTCCGCTCCGGGCCTGCAGCCTCTCCTGTCCTGGGAGGCTTGGCCCGCCAAGGAGTGCAGGGAGGGGTGCAGCGGGCCTAAATGGCCCCAAACCGAGGGGCTGCCCCCGGTGGACAACGCATTTAGCACCCGCGAGCTGGAGGCAGCCAGAGAAGCCTGTTTGGGGCTTGTCTCCGCCCCCGCTCCGCCCCCCAGGCCAGGCCTGCGGCACCCCCGCCTTCCGCCGCTGCCCCAGCTCCGCCCAGCAGGTGGCGCCAGGCCCCTGCCCGCCGCTCCGGGCCCCGGGCGGGCAGGGAGGGAGGCCCGGACACCCCAGCCCGGGCCAGCGAGGAAGCGGCAGCCGCGCCGCCTCCCCCGCGGGCCCCGGGACACCCCCGGGCACCCTGAGGGGCGGCCAGCCCACGTGGGCAGCCTGCAGGCGCCCCCGGAGGACGCAGTGACTGTCAGAGCGCCGGGCCGGGCGGGAAAACAGGTTCCGGGCTTCCCAGCGAGCCCGGTGCCCGGCACGTGCTGGACAGGCCGCCCACTGGTCGGCGGGAGGGACGCGGCCGCTCGCGGAACCTGCGCCCCTGGGGGGCAGCCCGGCCGGGCGGCGGCCAGACGGCCCCTCTGCAGCCGCGGCGGGCGCCCGGGGCCTCCAGGGAAGGGCCCTGGTGGGGTCCGGAGGGACGAGCAGGGGCGGGGGCGCCCAGGGACGACGGAGCCCGTGACGGGCCGTCGAGCGCGGAAGGACGGGCCGCGGGCCTCGGGGCCCGCCGGGAAGCGCCCCTCGCGGTCCTCGCCAGCCTCCGCCGCTCGGGAGCCGGCGGGCGCGGGGGCTGCGGGCCGGGGCCGGGCTCCTCCCTCGGCCCGGGGCGCGCGCGGCCGGGGCGCCGGGGGTCGGCGGGAGCCGCCCGAGGAGGCCGTCCGGGGGGCGCAGGGACGCCAGGGCACCCCAGGGCCCCCCCTTTCCGGGCTTTGACGCGCCCCGCCCGGCCCCCGCCCCCGGGCGACCCGGTCACGGCCCCGCCCCCGGCGCGCGCGCCTGCGCACTGCCCGCCGCCTCGGGCGCGGCGGCGCGTGCGCGGAGGAGCCGCCCGGGGACCGCGCTCTCGGGCCCGCCATCTGCGCCTGCGCAGGACAGGCCGCGGCCCCGGCGGCGGACGTGAGGCCGCAGCCCGGCCGGCTCAGTCGCGGGCGCGCGCACGCACACGCCGCGGGGGCGCCCGGAGCCGGCCGAGGGAGGCGGTGTCGGCGCGGGCGGCGCGGGGGGTGAGGGGGGCCTACGGCGGCCGCCGAGGGACGGCGCTACGGCGCCCACGCGGGGCCAAACGCCGCCGGCCGCCGGGCCCGGCAGCCCCTGGCCCTGCGGGGCGGCCCCGGGCGGGGACGCGTGAGGACCGGGCCGCGCGCCCCCGGCGCCATGCGGCCGCCCCGCTCCCGCAGCCCCGAGGGGCAGGGGGGCCCGCCGGCCTCCCCCGCGGCGCGGAGCGGCCCCCGGTGAGCGGGCGTGCGCGGGCCGGGGCCGGGCGGCGGGGCGCGCGGCGAGGCCGCCCCCGGAGCCGGCACCGGCCGGGCCTGCGGGCGAGCGGGCGGGGCGGCGCCGGGGCCTGCGCGGCCCGGGAGCCGCGGGAGGGGGAGGCCGGCCGGCGCCCCGCGGGCGCGGCCCCTTCCCGCGGCGCCCCCTCTCGCAGAGCGGGGCGCCTCGGGGGAAGGTGAGGTGCGGGCCCAGCCCTGGCCGCCCGCGGGCGCCGTCCCGCCTCCCCGCGCGCTGTGCGCGCCCCAGGGGCTTGGGCCCCGCGCCCGGCGGCCCGGGGAGGGGGGCGGGCTCCCGCCCCCGCGGGGCGCCTCCCCGGGCGTGGCGGGTCTCCCCGGGCCGCGCGGCCGTCGGGCCGAGAGCTGCGGCCCCGGCCGGGGCTGCGCGCCTCGCGGTGACCCGGCGCGCTGACCGCCCTGTCCCTGTGCTCTCCCCGCAGGCGCGCGCCGCCCCCGGGCCTCGGCCGCGGGCTCCCGGGCCCCGGCGCCCCCGACGCCGGCGCTGACGGCCGCCCGGACGCCCCCGCGAGCTCGCGCCCGCCGGCCCGATGCCGGTCCTGCCCATCCCGCGGCGGGCGCGCTCCTTCCACGGCCCGCACTCCAGCTGCCTGCACGCGCCCCGCGCCCCGCGCGCACCAAGTCCCACAACTTGGAGGTGCGCGCGCGCGCTGGCTGCACGGCGTCGTGCGCTTCCTGCTCTACTTGGGCTGCAGCCTGGTGACCGCCGCGCTCCGGGGCGCGCTGGCCGCGCTCTTCTGCCTGCAGCACCTGGGCGTGCGCGCGCTGCTGCGCCTCCAGCTGAAGCTGTCGCTGCTGCTGCTGCTGCTGGGCCGGCGGCGCGTGGACTTCCGCGTCCTCAACGAGCTGCTGGTCCACGCCAGCCACGTGACCCTGCTGCTGGTCGGCGGCCTGGGCTGGTGCTTCATGGTCTTCGTGGACATGTGACCGGCGCCCCCCGCCCGGCAGGCATCGCCCGGAGGAAGGCCTGAGACTGTTCCGGGAAGGGGGTGTAGGCGCCCCCTGTGCCCGGCTGGCTCTGGCCCTTGCCGGGCGCACCCCCCAGACCGCCTGCCCCTCGGGTCTGCACTTGGACCCCGCGTCCTGTCCCCACTCCAGGACCTGGCGGGCGGCAGCACCAGCCGTGGGGAGCTCCGGGGTGGGGTGCCCAGGGCCACACCCGAGGGCTCCCTGGGCTGGCCCCGTGTGGCAGAGAAGCTGCCCTGCGCCCTGGCCACACCCCAACAGCCGGGGCCACCTGTCTCTGAGGCCTCTGCCCGCCGGGGTGTGCGAGCGTCCAGCGGCAGCACGGCTGGGGCGGGCATGTCTCTTTCTGGCGGCCGGGGGAGTCAAGCTGGATGCTGCGAGGCTCTTCCAAGGGGTCGTGGGGCAGCGACTCAGCGCCTTTCTGACTCTGATGGGGTCTCGCGGCCTGTGCTTGGAGGAGAAGCCCGGAACTGAGGTCAGATGTGCCTGTGGGGCACACCCCGTTACAGGGCCTCTTGGGATCTCCAGCGGGGGCTCTGCGTGAGGCCCTGCCCTCTCCTCTGCCCCTGGCTGTTGGGCCGCCCGGGAGTGGCAGGCAGAAATGCAGGGGCCAAGAGAGGGGGCCCGTGCTGGGGGGGCGTCCAGGGAGCAGGACTCACCAGGGCCTGCCCGGCCCTGGCCCTGGCCCCCTCCCCAGCATTGGGGGTGCGCTGCCCACCTGCTCGGACAGGGTGGCATGTGACACTGGCTGCCGCTGGCATCATTGGCAGGTGGGAGGACACTGGGCAGTTACGCTGGGGTGACAGGCCATTGGGCACGGGCCACGGTGGCACTGACAGTGATTGGTCAGCTGCCGCTGCCCCCCAGGGGACCACGGTCCCAGGCAGGTGACCCTGCCGTGCCAGGCTCCCGCGTGGCGTCCCGCGGGCTGGTCTGCCGTGGAGGAGAGATGGAAGCAGGCGATGAGGGCAGAGCCCTGGCCCCTCGGGCTCTGCCACCAGTGGCCCCAGACCCTGCCTCCCCCAGCTGGCCCTGTAGCCGCCCACCTGCCCGGCGCCCAGAGCAGACTCTGCGCTTTCCCCGCGCCGCCTGCCTCCTCCCCGCGTGCGAGCCCCTCCGGCGTGGGTCAGGCCAGGGCGGCGCAGCCCGGAACGTGGAGCGCATCGGGGCGACTTGCGGGACGTGGGCCCTCGCGTCTCAGTGCCTGTTAGCGTTTCTGAAACGAGCCTCCTGCATTAAACTTATTTTTTTAAGACCTGTCGGCGGAGTGACAGCTGAGAAGCCGCCTCCTGAGGGCTCGGCCCCTGGGCCCGGCCTGCGCGGGTGTGGGGCGAGGGGGGCTCACGGCCCTGGGGGCCAGATCCAGGGCGGGAGTCTGCCCTCCCACATGGTGCTGCCCCGTGCGGGCGTGGCCCCTCAGTTGCGGGGGGGGGGGGGGGGGGGCCTCGCGGATGCCGAGAGGCAGAGGACGCGGACGGGACGCTGAGCTGCGGGTCTCGCTTGGCCAGAGCCTGCCCGAGGGCCGCTGCTCCGTCCTCCCCTGGGCTGGCCCCGCCCTTGGCGCCTGCTCTGGGGTCGCTGTCCGGGCTGGAAATTCGCGGGTGTTTCGGGAGAGGAAGGGGGTGCAGGGCGAGCTTTTCCCGGCGCGGGTCTCCTGATCCTCGCGCGGCCCCAAGGAGCAGCGGGGACCAAGGAGGGACGAGCTGCGGCTGGGACTTTGCTCCGCCATGTGGGGCCACAGCCTCCGAGCAGGAGCCCTCGCTGCTGCTGCTGCTGCTGCTGCGCGCCTGAGGTCAGCGGTCAGCCACACGGCCGAGCTCACCTCTGAGCAGCGGACTGGCAGGCGAGGGGGTTCCGTGGGGCGCAGTGGGGGTGATGCTCCTGCAGGTGTCCCTCCTGGGCTGAAGGGCACCTTGGGTTTCCTCCCTGACATGCTGGGCAGGCAGGAGGAGGCTGGGCAAGGGTGGGCCCCAGGGCCCTGGGGGAGAGGGTGCTCCCCAGTGCTGAAATGCAGTATTTAGAGCGCACCCCAGAGTGCAGAGGTGCTGTGCTCGGCAGTCTCCCCACCCAGTGCCAGGCTGCCTGGAAGCCAGGAAGCAGCAGGCCCAAGGCGGGGAGGGGCCCCGGACCCCCTGCTGGGTGCACATTAGGACAGGGAGGGTCCCCAAGTTCTGGAGTTCGGGTGGGGGTGGCAGTGGGCTGTTGACGTGCAGCTTGGGAGCTGCTGCCGCTGCCCTGTCTTCCCTCGGGGCTGGGGGTGGGCAGGCCAGGCACAAAGGGGAGTGGCCACGGGCAGCAGCCTGCCCAGCCAGGGCGCGCTGGGTGGGGCAGCTGAGGGGGTCCCCGCACGGGCTGTGGGTCTGGAAGCATCAGGGGACACCAGGAGGACCTAGGCAGGGGTGGTCAGACCCAAGGAGGGCTGGGCGGAGGCTGGACAGTGGCTTGGAGAGGCGAGCAGCGAGGGGACGCAGGAGCCCTGCCCTGGAGCCCGGGGAGCCGGTGGGGTCTTCTGGCCGGCGCCTTGGCTGCAGGAGAGGAGCCGGAGCCAGCCCCCCCACCTGGGCAGTGCAGTCAGTGTCCACGGGGCGGGGGGGGGGCGTAGGGGGTTGCTGCAGGGGACACCGGCCCCGCCTGGCCCCCTGCGTGACCCCCCCAGAGCTGCAGCGGGGGCGGCTGTCCTCCTGCGGCCCGCACGGGTCGATGAGCGCTGACCTTGAGAGGCCCGTCCCTGCGGCCGCGCTGGGGCTGGCGGGAGGAGCGGGCGCAGGGCTTGGTGCTGATTCTGCACTTCCTGGGGAGGAGCGGCCGCCCATCTGCAGAGGCCCACGTGCCTCTCCCTTCTCCCTCTTGGTCCTGTCAGGGCTCCTCTGTGCTGGCCCTTCCAGGAAGGCCTCCGTCCCCAGGAGGCTGCGCTGCTCTGCACCAGCCTCCGTGCAGAAGCCACTTTCCAGAACCCGGCAGCCTGGCACGCCTCCCTGACCGCTCCCCAGGAGGGAGCTCCCCGCCTCGCCAGCATCCTTGCCGGCCGGGAAGCGGCAGCTGATTCAGCGCTCCTGGGCCGCCCCGCCCCCAGCGCGGGCAGCGCGCCACACGGGCTCCCGCTGTGTGGCCTGCACTGCGCCTGGGGGTGGCGGACGTTCTGGGGAGGCATGAACACCATGGGGTGGGCACCCGCACGCCCTCCCGCTGCCACCGGAGAGCCCGGGGAAAGCAGACCCTTCCTCAGCCAGCCCCAGCTGCCCCCGCCTGCAGCAGAGGCCCAGTGGCCAGGCCAGGGCGAGCCACACTCTGACCTGGCTGGAGGCCCCCAGCCCCTGGGCAGACGGGCTGCAGCGGCAGCCGGGACCGGCCAGCTGGTGGGAGCAGCAGCGGCCAGAGGGGTCAGCTCCGAGCTGTGGAGGGAAGCGGCCACAGGTGGCCATTGGGTGCCAGGCGGGGGCGGCAGCTCCGCACTGGCCCTCAGGAGGAGCTGGGAGGGGGGAGCCTGCGTGGTCAGTGGGCGGTGTCGGGGACAGCGGGCACTGCCCTCTGCAGCGCCTCCAGGAGGCTGGGTGGCGCCCCGCCCTCCACTGTCTGGGCCACTCAGGGTGGTCCCGGTGGGGAGGCCCAGGGAATCTTCACAGAAGTCTGCGGGTGCAGGGGGTGACGTCATGGGGCGGGGCCTGTCCGGAGCCGAGGCCGGGCAGGTCCTTTTCCCCCCGGGAGACCCTGGGGAGTTGCTCCTCCAACGGGCAGGGTGGGCCTTCCTGACCCTGCGCTGCTTGGCAGCCAGCGCGAGCCTCCCAGGCCCACGGGAACGCGGCCAGGCCCCAGGGCTGGACCCCGGCGTAGGGCACCCTCTGGGGAGCCCCGGGCGCGGGCTCTGCCACCGCCCATCTGCGCTGGTGGAATGTTCTGCCCCGTCATGTGACCCGGGAGCCTGGGTGTCCAGTTCTTTCCGCCAGCACCGGCCTCCTGGCCGCGGCAGGTCTTGGCTGGCTGCCCTGGCCGGCTCTGGCTCCGCGACCGGCCCCCGTGCCTGCCCCTGCGCTGTGTCCCCGCGACCCTCGCCTGGGGCTGCTCCCGCAGGGTCGGCCACTGCCACCCTGGCCCACCTGCCATGGACTTCACAGAACTAAGGGGGCCTCTGCCCTGCCTGCCGGGCAGCCAAAGGGGGGCCCTGCTGATGGGGTGCCCTTCCAAGAAGCATGTCGGGGTGTAAGTGCGTCGGGGGAGTGTCGGGGTGTAAGTGTGCGTCCACAATGGGGCGGACTCTTGTGCGCGCGTCCCCTATAAGCGTCCGCTCCGGGCATCAGAGCCACACTGAGGCCCGTCCCCCTCCCACTGCCCCCAGAGATTCCATCAGCAGCACACTTCGGGGGGGCCTGCCTGACACCCCCGTGCAGCTGTCGTGTGCGCATGCTCACGTGTGCCCCGCTGCCCTCGCTTTCAAGTCCTGCTGCCTCTGCGTGGGGCACCCCCAGGTGTGCGGAAGCCGCGTGGCCGTGGGGCCGCCTTGTTCCCGCCCTGCCCAGCAAGCAGGCCGCTGCACCCCACGGGAGGCCTGCCCTCGGGCTGCCTTGTGGGGCTGCAGAGTGATCCTGGGAGCGGTGCCTCCTCCCGCCCGCCATGGGCGTGCCGGCTCCTCCCCCGCGGCGCTTCCGCGATAAGGAAGGAAGCTGCTGGGCCACGTGCTCCCAGCGGGAGGCGAGAGCCCTGGAGGAGCTGCCACCTGCCCTGGCCTCCTCTGGGGAAGGTGCTGGAAGCCGGCGTGGGAGGCTGCGGGCCCGACGGGTGGGGTGCTGGGTCTGATGGCGCCGAACCAGCCGCGTCTCCCCGTGTCTCCACTGGCCCCCAAGCCTGTCCCAGGCCCGGCCCCGCTCCGTGGGGTGTGTGCCGGCGCCCCCTGGGCCCCACAAAGGGCTAGCCCACACCCGCTGCCCCCCGACACCCGCCGGCTGTCCTGGGAGGGGGCAGCGCTGCAGCCGGCACACGGCCTCCCCGGAGCCGGGCAGCAGCGGCCTCGCAGCTGCACAGACTTCAGGGAAATTTAGGACAAAGAGGAAGAAGAGCGGAGCGTCCAATTTAGACCGGGAGAGGCTGCAGAAGCCAAAACGGTGCTGCCCTAGTTCACGCGCAGAGGCGGCCGCGGGGCTGCTGCTGCTGCCAAGGAGCCAGAACGCTCACCCAGTTTCCACCTGCGAGAGGTGCCGGGAGCGCCCGGGAGCCCGCGGGCGGCCGCGCACCTCCACCGCCGGCCCCCTGGGCCCGGGCCTGCAGCGCCGGGCAGCTCGCCGGCCAGGATGAGGCGGGAGGGTGGGCGAGGGCACGCGGGCTCCCGGCCCCCTTCCCGCTCCCGCCAACCCCGGGCAGCGCACACGCCTGCTCCCTGCGAGGCCGGCGGGGACCGCGGTGAGCCCCGGGCCCGGCCTGGGAGGGCTGTGGCTGAGGCCGCTTGTCAGGAAAACAGAGGAGACTGGGTCCCGGGGTGGGGGCCGCAGGCCCGCTCGGGGTGGGGTTCTGCCCCTGGTCCTGGGAGCAGTACGCCTCCAGCAGCCCTGCTGCAGCCGGGAGCAGCACGGGAAGGAGAGGGCACCTGCTGGGCGGGTGCCAGGCGGAGTCAGAGGTGGGCAGCCTCAGCCCCGCGGCGTGCGCCCTGGAGGGCCCCGCCCCGTGGGGGCAAGGACATGCCTCTGGCCGGGGGGCCGCACCTGCTGGTGCAGGTGAGCAGGTGATTCTGCTGCAGGCCCGGGGGCTGGGGCAGAGGACCCGGCCTCACCCTCAGCTTCCTCCTCTTCCCGCAGGTCTGCTTTGTGCTCTGCCCGTCCTGTGTGCGCGGGGCGCCCACCCTGCTCCCGGCGCCTGCTCAAGGTCAGGGCGGGGGTGGGGGGTGGGGATGGGGGGGTGCAGCAGTTGTGTGCACGGAGGGCTCGCTCCGGCCCCGCCCCTGCCCCAGGCCTGCAGAACAGCAGCAGCCTCAGGGGTGATGACCCCCGCGGTGCCCACTCCTTTGCAGAGCGCCAGGGGTTGCTCCAGGCCCGCCCCTGGAAGGCTCCGTTGGCCTCCTTTGCGCGGCCTCACGGAGGGGGGGGGGGGGCGCTCGTTCCGGGGTGGCTCCCCCTGCGTCAGCGCAGTGGCGGCGGCTTCCTGGACCCGGCACATGCGCTGCCAAGGTGGGCACCCCTTGGGGCCTGGGCACCTCTCCGTGGGGCTGGGGCCTGTTTAGGGACATGTCCGCTTCACAGCCCAGGCCTGAGCGAAGCCACGTCTCACCAGAAGCTGCCTCTCCCGGCAGCTGGAACTG